GGGGGGTTAAGGATGTACATAGACCTTTCCTCTATCGTAAGTGGTAGAGAGTCTGTTTTCTTGAAGGCCTCGGGCTTGTAAAATAAAAGGTTTAAGATTGAGCTAGCGGGACATACTTGATTAGCAATGATTCATTTGATGGCATAAATGGAGATCCGTATGTGTATACACACATATATAGGGGATGTTTCATTTACAAACCATCCAATTCTAACAAACCATAATCAATGTTTATATTAGGAAACAATAGAGATATTTATGGACAATTATCATGATTCATTAATTATGAGTGAGATATATATGGAAATGATAAGATTCATTCATTATGATCATGGCATTAGATTAGGAAACAAAATGGAATCAGATATTTATTAGACTAGATGGGACTGATATATATATATATATATATATATATATGACAGATATTGATCTCGAGGTTTAGTGATGTTTAAGACAGGTGGCTATAGTTGAGACTACTGTGCAGATACGTGATGAGTGATGGAGAACCTGTCCATGTTCTTAAGAACGTACAAAATGTTTAAAATGGTATTCCCTTCGTCACAAACAAGTGCAAATTTTCTTGTTTTTGACAATGTTTGATTCAAGATTTCCTTCGATCGTTACAAAAATGTTGGTGATATTGATTTTGGTCCATAGGGTCCTCGGATTGTTAGATATTTGATCAATAATCAAACAACTTCATTAAGTCATGTGCCCAATTAAAGGGTTCAGTTACTTTGGGACAGAGGCAGTACAAATAGTAAATCTCATGGTGGTTAAAATTAAGTACGATGAACGATTAAGACAAGTTGTTAGAGAAGGAGACATGCTAAAATCTAAGTTGGATGCTTGAAAGCATTTTGGAATGAGGGTTTTAGATGAAGGAAAAAAAAAATATTCTTTCATTCTTTTAGCCTTTGTTTTATTTTATTTTGGGGAGCTTGCTTCATTTCTCATAATTACAAGTCTTCTGCTCCCTTTGTCCCACGGAAAGTGTAAGCGGTGTGTTCGACTTGGCATATAGTTTAAGAGAAGTGGTTGATAATTTGTTAAATGTCTAAAAATACCCTTTGATGAAGAAAAGAAATGAGGAACCGTTGGACCCAATTTGATACTATCAATGATGGTGGGCAAATAAGTAATTTTGAATTAGAAACTTTGAAAACGGGAAATCTGCTAATTCATGACAAAGGCTTAGGCATACTTTGGTTCTTATAATTAGAAGTCTTCTACTCCCTCCATTCCATGAAATATGCAATGCTTGACTTCACACATAATTTTAGGGAAGTGTTTTTGACTGTTTTGTGAAATAACTAAAATACCCTCTCCAATCCATGGCCTTTTACGTGTAGTGTTTGCTAAAGAAAGGAGGGACACCAAGGAAGAACGAAACCGTGTTCACTGCACCAACAGGAGAAGAGATCACAAACAGGAAGCAGCTGGAGCAGTACCTGAAATCACACCCTGGTGGGCCCAAGATCTCTGAGTTCGATTGGGGAAGCGGCGAGACACCACGCAGATCTTCAAGAATCAGCGAGAAGGTAAAGTCGACCCCACCACCAGCTGAAAATGAGCCCGTGAAGAAGCGGCCCAGAAAGTCATCATCTTCAAAGAAAGACAAGAAAGAGAATGAAGATGCCCCTGAAGAAAAAGATGTCGAGATGCAGGAAGCAGAAAAGGCTGAGAAAGATGATGAAAAGCCCAAAGAAGAGGCAGATGGGAAGAGCGAAATCCCAGAAGTGCCCCCAACAGAGGAAGTAGCCAAGCCTGTAAATGAGGTCAACGATGAAAAGGGTGTGTCAGAAAATGCTGAAAGTAAGAATGTCAATGAAGAAGTGTGTGAAATCTCAGAAGTACCCCTGCCAGATAAGCAGGAGGAAGAAGGTGAGCCTGGAAAAGAGGTGATTAAAGAAGTGTGTGAAATCACACAAGTGCCCTCATCAGAGGAAGTAGCTAACCCAGAAGAAGCGGGGGAGTCAAAAGCTGCAGAAACTAAGCATGAGGAAGGTGAGGCTGTCAACGAAGAAGCGTGTGAAAACCAAGAACTGCCCCCAATTGAGGAAGTAGCCAAGCCTGCAAAAGAGGTCAATGAAGAAGTGCTTGAAAACCCACTAACACCCCCACCAGAGGAAGTTACCAAGGTAGTCGATGAAACAGCAATTGACGATTCTGTCCCCGTGACCAAAGTGGAAGCAGGAGGAGCCACAGCAGCTGAGAATGGTTGTCCGGTGGTGGAGGTCAGTGAGGCCCAGCCTTCCTGGGAGGAGATAAAGATAGAGTAACAAGTGTTGGTGCTGCCTATTCTCTCAGTTAGCATCGTCTGTTTCTGGTGAATCTTATTGCTGACGAACATTTCTGTAATCTGTAACTCTGTCATAGCATTAGGAGTCTTGAAAACTTAACTTTAGCAACATCAAAGGGACACAAAAGGACATTTGTTGTCGTAAACCTGTCGTGAAACCGGCATCTTGTTGTGGCCTTTGTTGTGTCTATAGGAAATTGTAGGTTACACAGGTCATGCTCATGCCTGTATCATTATTAATTATGTAATACTTAACTCTTTTATCAGCCTTTAACTCTCATTTACCTTGTTTTCTTTGTACAAACATTCTTATGGCAATATGGTTCCAATAATTGTTGCAAATTGTGCCATCTTTTTATCTTTTTTCAAGTATGCAGATTGTTTAGAATCGAATTCAGGAAATGGGTATCATGAAAAACAAACACAGAATTGGATCCACGCAAGCAAATCGCTTGTCGTATAAACCCTAAATTGGAAAAATTGGGAAGAACCCTAAATTACAGTTGCTCAAAGCCCTTTTAGTTCTCCAACCAAACCAGTTAATGTTGTCCACTTCTCAAATGCAGTTGCTGAGTCCACAAAAGCTAATCTTGAGGCTTCTATGTCATTCTTTGTTACTGCAACAAATTGAGTAGAATTCATAAACCAAACCAAACATAACCAGTATATCATACCGGGTTTGTGAAGGGTATGATGTATACAGATCAAACCACATGTAACCGGTATATCATATGCCAGATGGTAGGTTTTGGAGAGGATTTGATGTATACAGGCCTTTTCTCTACCTCTAGAGGAAGAGAGGCTATACTTGAGCACGAGTAGTTAACTTCATGCATACTGACTCTAGTAAAAACTCGAATGCACCTGACGTATACAAAGAAGTCAATGATGAGTTGAATGCATCCACCTCAGACTTCTCCTCCTGGCTCGAGCTCAACTGTAGGAAAACCAATCATCAAGCAAGATCTCTGACGTGAATGGTCTTGCTTTATGGCATTACAACAAAATCAACTATATAGGACGTCAAATATGTTTAAATGTTCTAATAGACTGTTTTACATGACCAAACAATCGTATGTCTTATGTAAAAGTGTTACAGTAAGTTAACCTTTTGAACGTCCAGAAACATCTCATCAATTTATTGGAACACTTTGACATACAATTATTTGATCTTACAAAAGTCTTGCAAAACAATCTATTAGAATATTTAGATATATTTGACATCCTTTTAACATCAAATACAGCCTGCAAATCGAAACTTGGCTTCAACCAGTGGTTTTGTTTTGGAGGTTGTACTTAAGTGTTGACAGAATATCTGTTTTTTGATCAAAAATCTGGATGAGAATAAGTACATGAAAGGAAGCACAAGGTACAACCTAAGAAAGCACAAGTGATGAGAAACATTAGAAGGAAAAAAGATAGGACCTTTGAGAGGGCTACATTAGCCATCTTGACCCAATCTGCATCAAGGGTTTGGCCAAGCACTGAACCAGCTGATGGGAGATCATTGTTCTCTATGGCTTGCCCTATTTTGCTAAGCTTGTAAATAACATCTTGCAGATAATCTGCACCAATCACAATATTTTTTCTTCAAGATTTCAGACGTATTTTCATAAATCATTTATGAAATAAGGTGTTAGTTTTACCCAATTGGGGTAAATGACCAAACTAACCTTTGTCTTTGCTGGATGAATTAAGAACAGTTTGTTTTTCAATCCTCTTCTTTCTGTCTTTCTTCACCTTCTCCATGAGTTCCAAATCATCATCAGCCTCTAAAATGGCTGCATTTGCTCCATGGGGGTTTCCAGTTGAGGACAAGAGGAAAAGGGAAGTGAGGCTTATGGATAGGCTTCTCTTGGAGACTTGTGGAGGGTAATTTGGTAATTTATTCACTGGTTTACACACACTGGTTCCTTTCACTATGTGTTTCTGCATAGAGGTTGATGATGATGGGAGGAAGGTGCTTGGATTGGCAAGAAAAATGGCTGCCATTTTCAATCCCTTTTGTTTTTGGTTTTCCGTTTGTATTTTGTTTTTATGTTTTATGATGGTTGTTTAGGTGGGGTTGTGAGAGAGCCAGAGAAGTAGAAAAAGGATAAGATATTGGATTTCTTGATATCAGCCTTGACTTTATAATATTTCTCCATACTAATAAAAACATTAAATTACAAAAATAAAAATCATGAATTATTTAGGGGTGTTTGGGATTGTTTATAAAAATAATTTATTGATTTATTCTGATGTGACACCGGTAATAAACACTTTTGAGTGTTTGGATAAATAGCTTATACCGGTGTCAAACCGGCAGTAAGGAATTTTTGAAGAAGTTAAACCATTCTAACTAATAATATGTTGATAAAAACTTTTGTAGAAACGCATAAATTGTTTCAAATAAGCAATCCCAAACACCCCCTTAATTACATGATTTTATGTGAAAACTTATATTTACAAACTAATCTTCTAATACTTCTTCCAGATTTGCCTCTGTTTTAGGTCTACTTCAAACATTTAATTTTGATTCGGAACTGAGTTTTTATAACCATTTTTGGTCCCCAATTTAAACAATGGTGAATTTTGTTTTCTATTAGTGACATAGACGAATGATCGTGTGAGAAAGAGAGTTAATATAAGAAGGGTAAGAAGAGATCTGGACCCTTGATTACTCTTAATCTCAAATTCACCCATGAATCACATTTGATACGAGGATTGATCTGGTGCATCTCGATGCATCTCATACTAATGTGCATCCAAGGGTGGAGATCATTTCTTATGCTTCTCATCTTAACTCTGTCTCATCGGAACCTAATTCTAGTGACGTAATGGGTAAAAAAGGTAAAGGTTAATGCATGAAATAACAATCTATTTTTACAAAATTTCCTTATTATAGTATTGTACTTTCATTTTTCCTTATTACAACAATATATTTTCAAATTGTTTATTTATTAAGGAATTGTACTTTAAATTTTTTTACCTATTATAGCAATGAATAACCATTTGAATTACATTAAGATGACATGTCAGAGGTTACCGTTGTCCATGTGGGACGTCCACGTATAACATGTTGATGTGACATATCTTATTACAACATTGTACTTTCAAGACATTTAAATGTACGTTTTAATTTAATAAATATACTAAATTAATTATAAAAAATAAGAAGTTAACCAGTTTAAAAGGTAATATGTTACTCATTGCTATAATGAGTAAATTTTCAAAGTACAATGTTCTATTAGAAAACAATTTGAAAGTATATTGTTGTAATAAGAAAAAAAATGAAAGTATAATGTTGTCATAATTTTTTTTTACTAAAAATTGTTATTTCATGTATTTAACCTAAAAGATAAAAATACAAAATTACCCTCATGTGAGGGGTACATGACGTGATTAAAAGAGCTTAAACTAATAGTCTTATTTTAAGGACAAAGTTATGAAAATAAAAAATTAGAAACTATTGATGTAATTAATGCATTTTACATGGTTTTAAATGACTCGTTATGGGAGTTATGGCATGAAGGCTTGGGTTTGCCATCATGTTAACGCTTGTAGCTCCACTATAAGGCTTGACTTCCGTTGTAAAGCATTATGGCTCGTTAACATGTTATGATGCGTTACAACGCATTATGTTGTAAGATGTGGGTTTTTTCTAATATATAATTTGAGGGATAAATGATAATTACATACGAGATCTAAGATTTAAATAAACATAAAAAGAAAATTTAACAACTAAAAACCTAAATAGGTGAATATTTACTCTTATTCTCATATATGAACAGCCGAACACGAATTCTTTGAAAATTGAAGAAAGTAGTGAGTTCAGATTTAAAAGATTTAATCATAACTTTGCACTTTCGATATCATTTCTTATAAGCTATATAATATTTTGTATACTATCAATGATTCTTATTTATTTTTCAGTTTTATTACTTTATATGAATTTATTTTATTTTCGCTATTATTCAAAACATCAACACACACAAGTGTGTGTGTCTTTCTCTCTCTCTCTCTCTCTCTCTCTCTCTATATATATATATACATATATATATATATATGTGTGTGTGTGTGTAGGACGGTAATTAAATGAGAACCACAAAAAGGTTGAAAATCGATCTAAGCTGTAATTTGATTTTAATCATATGGTTTTAATTGAACACATGGAATCCAACACAATTTTCGTCTATAATCTATTTCACCTAATGAATTCAAACATAATTTTTGTCTATATATTATTTCACCTTATGAAATCAAACTAAATTTCCGTTTATATATTATTTCACCTTATGAAATCAAAGACAAATTACGTGTTCCATAAGGTGAATTATTCACATAAGCATCACCATCGGAATCCACCGTTTTTATCATATTCGTATGATCATCAACAGTGCACCTCTCTCCCAACTGACTCAAAATTTGGTGCAACTCCTTTGCCGAAATCAATCCGTTTTTGTTTAGATCGTAGAGCTCGAACGTATCCTGGAGCTCCTTCATCTCGTCGTCATCTTCTAAACTTGCAAACTCCTCTAGGCTGATGAAACCGTCACAGTCAGTATCGATACCTGCCATTATTCGATTCATCTCATCCAGAGACGTGTCGGATCCGAGTGCCTTCATGACATCGACGAGCTCCACCGCCAAGATCTTGCGGTCTCCGTTGACATCAAAAACATTACACACTTTTTTCACTTCCTCAAGGTTTGTCAGCTACACCAACGACTTGTTGCTTTGTAACACCTCATTTCACATTTGCATATAACTCACATATTTCATATAACATGAAATTCAAATGTACAACTTGTCACCTCATTTCACATTTGTAACATCTCACTCAAGAAATCCCAATTTCTAATTTTAATAAAATCTCCAATAAAATATAATTTATTGATTGATAGGGCCAAAAATTGATCTTAATTATTCTAAAAGTTTTATCAAAACAATGGGGGCCAATGATGGAAAATCTGAAGATGTTGCTGAAACGACTAAGTCTGGAGGAAAACCAAAGCCTATGAATGGACCAGAGGCGATGGATGGTCCAGAGGCGATGAATGGTCCAGAGGGGAAGAAAATGGACCAGAGGCGATGAAAATGGACCAGAGGCGATGAAAATGAACCAGATGCGATGAAAATGGTCAACCCTTTGAAACACACAGATCTGGGCATAACATTGATTAATCTCAAAATATGGGATATTAATTTTTTAGAAAAACTTCGAAATATCCGTTATATTTTAGTGATAAAACCACCCGAAACATAATTCCAACTCGGATATAACGGATTTTTACTTACAACCCGAATTAAGTAACAAAAGAGTACGAAACATACTTATAACCAGAACAAGACTATAATCAAGCTTTACTTACTACATCTATGAAATACGGTATTAAGCTACTATTTACCAAAAGCAAGATCGCAATCTTCAAGTTCCCCGATAAATCTTCAAGTCAAACAACGGGTTCTTTCTTCTTATCTGACTTCTTTCCTGAGAGAGGTTGTCATTTAAATGGTAAGTCAACGCTTAGTGAGTTAAATAGTTAAGTATTACATATCAATATCGCATATGTATATAAACATACATGATAAACTCTTATCAATAAAAGAGTTCAAAGCATCATCCAAATGCAAACCGAGACTTACAAAAAACCGAGTGAAYAATTACGTACCGGATGCTAAGATCATAGGATTCTATATTCAAATCACCATAATATACCATACCATTGATGCTCAACACAACAAGGAAACAAGATCAATAACCAAATATATTCAACAATCGTTAGAATACCAATAAATATCAAGAATCCAAGAGATCGAATCGGTAATCATAACGAAGACAGTGCATCACCCCGTCCTTCACCTCCCGGGCTCATGCCAAAGTCCGAGTCAGAATCGTTCATTACGGGAAACCTCGCACTGCCCGCCTTCCTCTACCGGGTATGTGTCAAGGTTCTCTACTCATTGCTCTTCCTCATCTTTGAGCAATGAGTACTTACAACCGAAGAAAGTCTCACCCGTCCAACCTGGGATCTTGACTTTGCCATAAACTTCCGACGTGCCACATGAAGTAGTACCCGTACAATGGCGTACAATTCAAGGTACAAAAACAACGAGTCCGGATCCAAAAAGCAAACCGATGTACCGAGATAGTAATATGGAATAGACTCAAGAGACGGAATCAAAGGAAAGTCAAGATCGTGTGACTCAATTCAAGACCAAAAAACATTCATATGAAAATATATATGTTCAAATCAATATGTAACAACTAACTATATAACTCACCGGGCAACCGCAATAATACCGAAAAGCTCCAAAATGAGCTCCCAAAGCAAGTCTAATCTACCACACTTAGATTGCTTCCAAAGTATCAAAATATGTTCTAACTACCCCCTTGAGTGAATGTACAAAATCTCATAAGCAACCAATATAAAAAAAAAACCCATGATATACACATATCCTATTTGAATATTTTACCTAAATTTCTATGTACAGCTGTTGCATGCAGAACTGTTTTTCCTATTTTAAACTCGGATTCATGCCTTGATCATAAAATAAGAAATAAACTAGACTCAAATATCTAACTAAGAAAATTGGCCTCACCTCATTTGGATTTTTCTACGATTTTATACAGTTTTTCAAAGTCTGTACATTTTCAATGAATATTAAGTCGAAATCCTCATTTTCATACATTCTTATCAAACCATTTCGATCCCAAATTATTCCAACTTTTGAATCTCAACTTAACATAACATATTTGACATAAACAACCAAAATCCAWCCTTTATTTTATCATTTATATTATCTCCCAAATCATTGACTTAATCAAGTCAAAGTTCATATGATGAACTTGCATAAATCTTGATAATCTCTTGAATCTAATGACCATTTCATGTCATAAACACTAAATGCACTCATTTTATACACTTAAGATCAAAHYYATATGAAACCCTAACTCTATCTCAACATGCAATCCATATAACAAGAATGTCAACCAAGAACAAGTGCAAAGAATGGATTATACCTTACTTGATGATCAAATCCTTCAAAGATCTTGTACTTCCTCTTTGATTTGAGTTGAATCGAGCTTATATGTGTGAAAATTGCACCTCTAGTGTGTGTGAGTTCTGGACTCAAATGATAAGAAAAATGGGCCAAAAATCCAATTTATAATGATAAAACTCGAGTTGGGTCGGGTTGGCCCGGCTAGGTACCCATTTTGACCATCAACACTTAAAATATTCATAACTTTTCGCTCGGACCTCCGTTTTCTATGAGGTTTTAGCCTACACGTTCATAGAGAGATAATCTATAATATCCAACAACAATATTCCAAAAAAGATCTCCCAAGAAAATCAGTTTTACGCAACTATTTGACGTGAAATTTTCCCAAATCCTCTAATATACTCTTAAGAAGTATAATTCTAAAATTTCAAACCTAAACTCCCACTAAATCATAGATTCTCTTAAACCTAATAATTAAATATACTTAGCAAATAATTTGGGTATATTAGAGATTGGATGTTACAAATACATCCTCTTTTTGAGGATTTCGTCCCCGAAATCACTGTTGTGGAAATAAAGATGGGTATTTCGTCTTCATCTCATCTTTACGCTCCCACGTCCAATTTGGTCCCCGATGGTGTTTCCACTTGATCAATACCAAGTCTACCTCTTTATTACGTAGTTTCACTTGTCTCTCGTTTAGAATTGATTATGGTTCTTCAATGTATCTTAATTTCTCATCTACTTCGACTTCGGCTAAGGGCACCGTCTCTTCATGTTTACCCAAACATTTACGTAAGTACCCGACATTAAACACATCGTGTATCCCCGTAAGTTCCTCCAGTAACTCTAGTCGATAAGCCTGTTTTCTGATACGCTCCAATACTTTGAACTGGCCAATAAATCGTGGACTTAACTTACCTTGTTTTCGAAATCGAAGCACGCCTCGCCAAGGAGAAACTTTCACCATAACCATATCACCCACTGAGAACTTGATTGGCCTTTTGAGACGATCTGCATAAGACTTTTGACGATCTTGGGCAGCTTTCATTCTTTCGCGAATAATCTGAATCTTGTCATGAGTAATCTGAATGAGTTCGGGTCCAACTAAAACTTTCTCTCCCGTCTCTCGCCAACACAAGGGTGTACGACACTTACATCCGTATAAAGCCTCATAGGAAGCCATTCCAATTGTCGAGTGGTAGCTGTTGTAAGAAAACTCAACCAAGGGTAGGTGAGTATCCCAGCTACCACCAAAATCTAAGACACATGCGCGTATCATATCCTCGAGAGTCTGAATGGTTCGTTCTGATTGACCATCGGTCTGAGGATGATAGGCCATACTAAACGCATGACGTGTTCCCAACTCTCGTTGAAATCTAGTCCAAAAATTAGAAGTGAATCGAGAATCGCGATCAGAGATAATCTTCACCAGTACACCGTATCGCGAGACAACTTCATCAATGTACAACCGTGCCCATCGATCCATAGAATAAAACTCTCGAACAGGTAAGAACAATGCAGATTTGGTCAACCGATCAACTATAACCCAGATACTGTTGTGTTGTAGTTAGGTCTTCGGTAGTTTAGTAACCAGATCCATCGTTAATTCCTCCCATTTCCACATCGGTATCTCAAGAGGCTGTAAACTACCATAGGGTTTCTGGTGTTCAGCTTTTACTTGCAAGCATGTGGTACATTTCTCGACATAACGTCCAATATCAGTCTTCATCCCAGGCCACCAGTATTCTAAACGAAGATCTTGGTACATTTTGGTACTCCCTGGGTGTATTGATAATCGCAACTTATGTGCTTCTGCTAAAACAACATCTCGCATGCCGCCAAGTTTGGGGACCCAGATTCGGGTCTTAAAGACCTTCAAGCCACGTCCATCTTCAGAGAGAGAATCAATGTATTCTACCATTCGTTCTACTTTGACATTCTCAGGCTTCAAAGACTCAATCTGCCATTTCTGAATATCATCAAAGAGATTATATTTAACCGACGTGTGAGTGATAGAGTAGCATAGAAGTCCATAATGCGTCTTCCTACTAAGAGCATCTGCCACTACATTGGCTTTATCCGGATGATATAGTATCTCACAGTCGTAATCTTTGATGAGTTCCATAGCACGTTGTTGACGCATGTTCAAGGTCTGTTGATCAAATAAATACTTTAAGCTCTTGTGGTTAGTATAAAGTTGACACTTCGTACCATAGAGATAGTGTCGCCAAAGCCTCAAAGCAAATACCACCGCTGCTAATTCAAGCTCATGAGTAGGGTAGTTCTTCTCATAATCTTTCAATTGGCGAGAAGCATATGCAATCACCTTGTCTCGCTGCATCAAGACACATCCAAGACCAAGTCAAGATGCGTCACTATATACTATAAAGTCTTCGTTACCCTCAGGTAGAGCAAGTATAGGCGCATGTGTCAGACATTCCTTTAAAGTTTGAAATGCTCGATCTTGGGCCTCATTCCATTCAAATTTAGCATATTTACGAGTCGAAGAGGTTAGTGGTACTGCGATCTTAGAGAAGTCCTTGATAAATCGTCGATAGTACCCTGCCAGACCTAGAAAGCTCCGAACTTCGAAGCATTCTTTGGTTGCTCTCATTCTTGAATTGCTTCGATCTTGGCTGGGTCTACAGAAATGACCTGTCATTACGCTACCTCATTAAATGTCATTCAATTGTGGATGAGAACGTGACATATTTCTCATTATGACCACTTTCCCGAACCATCGTCTTTTTCTCTCTCTCATATTTCTTCTCTCTCCTCCTACCTATAAATATRAGATTTCTTCTTCACTTTTCTCTTTACGCTTTCAAAATTCTTAGAYGAACTTCTGCTAAGATTTCTCCAAAGCWASAACTCTCTAAATCTTCAAACCTCTTTCCGACCTTTCTTCTTGAACTTTAAAGGTCAAAATCTTCTTTTCTTCTTACCATTATAAGAAATGTGTTTAATATGATTAAGAACTTTGTTCTCTTAATATATTGAACTTTAAAGGGTTTTAATCATCTCTTTCTTCATTATTAATCTTATTTCTTTATACACATTCTACTTGAAAAACCCTAATCTTTTAAGGATTTTTTAAATGAAGTTTTTCCTTGTTTAAAAACTTTTTCTATACTCTTTAACCATAAACTCTTGGCTTCTTTCTAACAAATCTGTTTGTTCCTATTTGTTTTACTTATTTGATAATAAACAGATGGTTGCCAAGAACGTCAACTTCTTCATTGACGAGATCTCTATCAAGGCCAACAACCACATTGCCTTGTTAGAGATACCCTCCACAAGAGCACATTACCAAGAGGCGGCTGACTTCCTCAAACAGTCGTCCTTAGGCTATGCTCTCAACCATGAGCCCCTCATGGTCAAGGAACTCCTTCAGCAGTTCTGGTACACTATTGAGGTTGTCGAAGTCCAAGACGATGCTGGACGCAAAATGGAGCAAATCCATTTCACTTTCAACCGCATGGATGTGAACTTTGGGATTTCTACATTCCGCTCAGCCCTCCGTCTTCCTAAGGGTCCCTTCGACAGCGAACCCTCCTCCACCGAGATAATCAACTTTCTCGATGCCATGGGATACCAGTGGCCAATGAAGAAGGACTCCAGTGCCCCTCTCAAGTCCTTAACGAAGATTGAGAAGAACAGGATGTCAGTTGTCTGGCAATACCTATTTTCTCATTTCATCTAGTGCATGGGTGGAAAACCTGGAGGTCAGGACCAGGCCTCTAGGATCACCTTGATCATAGGCGTATCTATGATTCAGCGTCACAATATAATTTATGATGCGGTCATTTTTGATGACCTGGTGCTTAAGCTGAACAAGCACCAGCGAGAAAAGATGGTGCCTTACACCAGGTTTCTTTTGATGGTATTGACTAAGATCTTCAAGAGTCTTTACCCCAAAGAAGGAAACCTTCCAGCTTTCAGGCTTGGATCTAGGATTCTGGATCATAAGCTGAGGGACAGTGATGTGGCACTTTCTTCCATTGTGTCCATCACTACCTCTTCCTCTCAGGTGGCCATGACAAGAGAAACCCCCCCCTCCTGAGTCTAACCAAGCCACCAAAACCCCTTCAAAACGACCCTCTTAACCAACTCTTGGTTCTCCTCAGAGAGCCAAGAAAGCCAAAAAGGGGACAACCACGTCTCTAGCTGGGGCCTCTCAAAAGACTTCAGTTATTGAAACTAGCCTTACCCCCGTAGCACTTTCTGTTAACCCTCCCAGCTCTTCAGTGATTTCTCCCATCACTGTCGTATCAGTGGTGTCTTTACCAATCACTTCAGTTACCCAAATCACTGAAAGTGTAGATATCAGCGCCGCCACCGCTGAACACCCACGTCTCTTCTCAACCATTTTCTCTTCTCCTCCCTCCTTGGTCTTTACACATGTCGATGATGTATCAGCGACTGTCCTTCCTGATACTGAGACACGCACCACTTGACCTGAGGCTGCTCCTCTCGATGCTCCTCAGCATACGGATGTCCATCCTCTCGATGACATCTTTGCTCATGCCAGTGACAATCCTTTAGATGTCACTAAAGGCCCCTCAGGTATTCCATCTTCCTACCCTTTCTTTTCTTCTAACGTTGAGCCTTCAGCTCACACTTCTTCTTTTGCAGGTCCTTCTTCGATGTATCAGCCTGATGCTCAGAAAGCGGCAGAGGAAGAAAGAGATAAAGATGATGGAGGAAATGACGAAATTGATGATGACTATGATATGTCATCTGATATCAAGCTTCTCCTTCCTGTCATTGATACCGTCCTCTCTAGGATCAACAAAGTTCACCAAGAGATGCCCCGTCAAGGCGATCTTGATGCGAACTTCYTTGCCCTCCAGGCGGATGTTCAAGAAGTTCAGAGTCAGCTCTAGACTCTCCAATAAGTTGTTCAAGCTAACAACGACGTCATTGTTGTTCTTCACAGCAGGGCTGACAATGCTTAGGCTATAGCTGATCAGCAGACTGGCCTTCTTCAACAAATCCTGGATGCTGTCCGTCAACCAGCTCCAGTGATTGCACCTTCTTTCTTTGCCAATGATCGCGCTCAGCTCCATGAGACGCGTGATGAAACTACAACTCTAGCCAATGCTTTGTAAAGGTTGGAGGATTCAATGGTTCTCCAGCGTCAGCGCTTGGACGAACTCTCTCGCCAATTCTCTCAAGTCTTAGCCAAAGAGGGGGAGATGAGGTCCAATGCTGGTGAATCATCCGATGCTGCTCCTACGACTTCTCAGGCCGTTGGTCCAGTATCAGCTTCAATTGCAGTTGAGGCTGAGGCTCCTAGAGCTGAAGCAGTCGTTGCTCCTGTAATCCCTACCACCGAAGCTGCTCTAGCTGAGGTTGTAGATGCCATTCCTAGGGATGATGCCCATACCATCGCTGCTGCTGGTGATGATGATGATGTTAATGAAGATGAAGATGATGATGATGATGACGAAGACGATGATGATGACGAAGACGATGATGAACCTGTCATTCCAGACACCAGAGATGATCTAGATGGTGACGACGATGATGATGATGAAGATGACTTTACCATCAAGTTCCAGAAGCGAACAACTGTCACCAAAGGTGTTACTCTCGAGGATTCCGCATCCCAGGGGGAGCAAAGGTAAGGTGAATCGACTCCATCAGGGAACCAGKACCCYAAGTCGAAAGGCAAGACGGTCGCTGAAGAAGGTAACTTGAAGGTATTATTCAAAATCCCTCAACAATCCTTGTTTGAAGACTCTACCTCTCATGTAGTGATTACTTCAGAATATCAACTTCATATTCCATCAACAACCTGCAGTCGACTGGAGCAGGTACCTAATCAAGCCGTCTCTTGTGCTCCAACAGACCAGCAGATGTCTCAGCTGAAGGAGTTACTCGACCAGACTAGAGTAAAAATCTCTCTTCGTACCTCTAGTGATGGTGAGTTTGACTTCTTACTTGAAGTTGAAAGACTCGAGGCATTAAGGGCTGAAGAAGAGCTAGAGCTTTAAAAGAAGCAGACTGAAGACAGCTTAAAGCTGGCCAAGTCACTAGCTGTAA